AACTGATGGGCCACAAACACACTTCCTGGTCAGAATGCACTAGGTCCTGAATTAGTCAAGATTCTGTGGTTGCAAGAAACAGAAATCCACGTCAAACCAGCTTAAATAAGCAAACAAATGAACAAGTAAGTAAACAAGCATGAAGGAAAGAAGGAAGGATGGAAGGAAGAAGGTTATTGTTTATTGGTTTATTTTGTTCATGCAATGGGGAGTCCAGGAGGAGTAGACCCCAGGGGATTGCAGGGACTTAGCCATGCAGTCAGAGCTATCTATCTATCTATCTATCTATCTACCTACCTACCTACCTACCTACCTCTATCCCCATCTTTCTTCTCTGTTAACATTCTCTCCTACTGCAGATGGGCTTGTTCTACCCTTGCTGTGGAGAGGAAGTGGAGCATGGTTCAGACAATCCTGGTTCTATCATCTCAGTCCAGTAACATCAGCTTTCTTTTCTGAAAGCCTGATACAAAGTCCCAGAGAAAGACTCAAATTAGTTCAACTTGATGCACAAACACATTTCTAGCTAAACACTGTGGCCAAGTCAATGGAGACTAAGGTTGGCCAAGTCTAGACCTCAAGCTCACCCCTGTAGACTGAAGACTGGCTTGGCAGCCCTTAAAACCACAAGGAAAAGGAGTGGATCATTTCTCCCCAATGAAATAAGGTGCTGTGCCAGAAGAAGATGGGAAAGGAGATGCTGAACAGACACCACTGACAGGCATTCATTACAGATCCTTTATGTCTCAAGGTTTTGTTTTGTTTTCCAACAAATGTCTCTGAAAAAGAAGAGACATTACAGTTGCAAAGGAAAAACTCTGTGTTGACAGAAGGAAGAAAAAATATGCAGAAGAAAGGAGCTGAGTGAATAAGGCCATCATTAAAGCTCTTCTGTGTGTCATGTTTGTGATTTCAGATATTTACTCTCTGGGAGTATGACACTCCTATCTGCGATAAGCCTGGAATCCCAGGCTCAAACCCTCAGGGGGAAAGAGCAGTGCCTACCTTACAGGGCTGCTGTGAGAATTAGATGAGCTAACACAAGTCAAACAAATAGTACAAAGCCTGATGCACAGAAAGCTTATCCTATCTAATAAAGAGGGAATATGCTAATTGACCCTCATGCTGTCGCAAAAGATGGCGGAGCCCACAGCCAATAAGGAGGGAATATGCTAATTGACTGCCACACCCTCAAAGATGGCAGTGCCCACAGCCACAAAATGGTGGCGCCCAGTCCCCTCAGCCCTGCCGGGGTCCCCCAGTCCCCTCAGCCCCCAGCTGCCTAGGGCTGGTCCAAGGTGCAGGCAAGCCTTGGATGTTGGCTGCCCAGCCACCCAGGGCCGCCCGAGGCTCAGGTAACCAGGGCCGCCCGAGGCTCAGGTAACCAGGGCCGGCTGAGGCTTGTGCTGCCAGCAGTGGCAGCAGAGGTGTGATGGGGCGTCGCCTTCCCCTGATCACTGGGTCGCCTCCCGTCCCTGAGGGCTCCCTGACTGTGAGAGGGGGCAGGCCAGGCTGAGGGACCCCCCCCCTCCAGTGCATAAATTTTCATTCACCGGGCCTTTAGTTTTTTTATAAGTAAAATATAAATTGGGTATATTCATGTAGCACCCATATCCCCACAACACACTGAGGGCTCTTGGCTGCAAAAACCTGCAACTCTCTGCTTAGGGCTCTTTTTCTAAAAAAGGGAGACCCTTTCAGAGTTAATGCCCCCCAAAATCAACTCTCAACTGACAGGAATTAGCAAATAAATTCTCCACTTCCTGGTCCCCCAGTGGGATAATTCTGAGCTGCCCACGTGACTGCATTCCAACAGATGCATTTGAGAACATGCACTTTTGAAGCTTCCTTGCCTTCCCTGTCTTATTACTTTCACTCCCCCACTGGCCTTTCCTGGAATCAGCTCCTAAACAGACTACTTGCACTTTAATCCTAGTCTCAGGATCTGCCTCGGGGGGACCTAAACTAGGACAGTAAATTTACTAACAAATCTGTGAAAGAACATGCACCAGAATGTTCACCGCCATTGTCCTAAGACTGGTGAGATTGTAAATGATTGCACTTTTTATGATCTATATTTAAAATATTTTTCAGCCGAAACCGGTTTGGCTCGATGGATAGAGCGTTGGCCTGCGGACTGAAAGGTCCCAGGTTCGATTCCGGTCAAGGGCATGTACCTGGGTTGCGGGCACATCCCCAGTGGGAGGTGTGCAGGAGGCAGCTGGTCGATGTTTCTCTCTCATCGATGTTTCTAACTCTCTATCTCTCTCCCTTCCTCTCTGTGAAAAATCAATAAAATATATTAAAAAATAAAAAATAAAATATTTTTCACATATATGTGAATAGGAACTCATTGGATAGCAACTAATTGATTACTGAAACAGTCTCAAATCTTAAATCTAATTTTTAGTCTCTGCAGCACCTGACCACCTTTTTCTTCTACCTGACTCCTAACTCAAGGTTCCTAATCAACAAGCCTTCTTACTTTTGCACCTGCTAAGTCCATTCCTAGCTCCATGCTTCTACTCATGTTTACCCAGCACTTTCTATCAATCTTACCGCTTCCACAAGGCCTCCCTGATTCACTCTAGCCTGTGATGCCATTGTATGTCCATTTCTTCTGTATATCGTTTAAGTGACATGATCAGTTCTTCCCGAATTACATCATTTTGAAGAGATACATATAAAAAAATACTACTTTGGTATGGGTCTCTCAATTTCCTAGAATATTTATACTTTCAACACAAAAATGGTATTAGACCAATTCAAGATAAAATACCGCCACCCCAAATTATTGAAGATATCTGAGCTGCATCTGCTGTTTGTCTTTAACAAAAGGTCTTTTGAGCAGGACAGCGTGCTGGGAGAAGAAAAAGGGAGAACCAGAAGCTGGCTCTGATGCACTCGTTCCAACAGCCATAAATGATCTTTTCATGAGGACACAGCCCATAGGGAGAGAAGGAAAGACAAAAAGCATTCTTGACTTGGGAATGGACTAGCGGCTCCCCCTCTGTCTGATTCAGTTACTCAGAATGGCCTTCTTGAGGCTGTGCCTCTTGTGAGT